TCTTCTTTTCTTTTTCACTCTTTTTCCCCTCTTTCTCTCTTTTTCTCTTTAGAGAGTATATGTGTATGATAGATCTCTCTCTCCCTCTCTCTCCCCCTCTCTCTCTCTCTCTCTCTCTCTCTCTCTCTCTCTCTCTCTCTCTCTCTTTTAGTTTCCATTTCACTCCATTTCTCCCCTTTCTTTCTCTTTATCGTTCAAGAGAATATGTGTCAAAGAGAAAATTTGCGTATATTCTCTTCCGAGGAAGAAAGTTTTCATGAGTTTTATAGAACGAAAACATCAATTCCTTCACGTGCTCGTATACGTTTCAAAAAAATGTGTTCAAACAGTTTTTTGAATGAATTTTCATGCATTTTTTTATTTCAAAATCGTTTTTCTAGTATCTTCAATGGAATGTCATCTTTATTGGCAAAGATTTTATATCTTTTGAGCCCACAGAATTGTGAAGAAGGAAGTTTTTAATATTACAGAAACGAGTCCGGCCAATAAAACGATGATTTGTATTTGGAAACAACAATCCCTCGAAAAAACTTTTCGCTTTACAATTAATAAGCCTTCTCACCTCGGTTTCTTCCTTTTCGTTCTCTTCACACCTTTTGTCATAAAGTGTCGTCTACTCTTCAGAAGTTTTTTTTTTCGAAACAAGAAATCCTAATGGAGAGAAGTATAGCTTCCAGTCATTCATCCATCCATCCAAACACTTCAACTCCATCAACAACCAATATTTAAGAAGAAATAATGCGAATAAGGCGTTTTTTTGAATTTGCTTTTCTTACTTCAATCAAAAACTTTTCACGGAAAAAAATCATCGAGAGAAATGAGAATGAAGGTAATAAAACACATGCTTTACCTTGAAGTTAAGATGATTCCTACACGCCCCGCAGGGAACAACAACAGTATGCCTAGATTAGCTAACCATTTATGGAATAATCAACCACGTTCAACAGTTTTAGTATTAATTAATCATCCTCTGAATGATCTTTTAAACTCTTTTCAATACAATTTGATGAGAATTGCTTCCCAATAATCCGGATTTCATTTCTTCATCTGCTGACAGACAGAACGGTTGTGTTGTCCCCCCTTCCCCCTCCCTCTCTCTCTTCAATCCTCTCTTAGTCTTTCTCTCTCGATTTCCCTCGATGTCCTCGACGAAGTTGCCGTCATTTTCATTCTGAATTCTGCAACCAATATCATTATTTATTCCAAACAAGTCATTTTCCCTGTTTTTTCTGTTCATTTTGTTTCATTCATTCTCTCACTTTGTTCATTCATGATTTAAGTGATGGCATAATATACATATTAACCTACGACTATTCCTTTTTCAAATTGGCAAATGTTTTCAAAAAGAATGAAGAACAAAAAAGATTTTGTAAAAGTTTTATTGTATTTCACTTGATCAAAAATCTTCCATTTTGTCAAAGCAAAAAAAAACTAAAATATGGACAGGTTCTTCTTATTTCTTTCCATTTTCAAAAAAAAAATATTTTTATGTGTTTCATACATTTCCAAATCTGCTCTTTACAGTTGCTTTCAAAACTCAAGAGAGTCTAAGTCATATCATTCGGAACAGTATGAGCAACTAGTCCAATATATGCTTTTGATGTACATATGTGTTATCAAATAACGGATAATGTTCTTCTGTTAACATGAATATCGATCACACCAATCAATCTACCGACTGGACATTTCCTTGACTCTGCTCTGACCGTTGGACTTATTTTCATTTTTTTTCTTCCCTTAATCTCACTCCCTTCCAACAGACTATTTCTTCATTTTGATCGCTTCATTTATTTTCTTTTAGATATTTTTGTGATTGAAGTTTGTACATCTATAGCTTTACTAATTGCTCATCTATGGAACTCATTACGTATTAACCAACGAAATCGATGTGAAACGAAAAATATTTCAAATTTTTTTCAATTTTAGACTGATGATTAAAAGATTTTTT